AACAATCTTGACAGGCTCGCATCTACTAAGCATTTTCAAGACATCAGTACAAACTTCAGCTGGATGAAGGAGATGTATAAACTATATAAATCCAGGTATTTCATTCTTTTGTATCCTTTACTACGGCATGAAGGCAGTATAAAATATTGCTTGGAGATGCAAAGCTTGACTTACAAAAAGGCTTCTCAGCTCTTTGAATTGATTCACAGTATACGTGTGTGTATGCACATGCGCTTCCACAGAAGCTGTGAACCCCTTTCAGACAGATTCCTCAGAATTCTGTTTGGCTTGGAATGATTTCCAGTCCCCTGTTCTTCATTCCTATATTGGTACAGTTCAGTATCTGAGAATTTCTGAATGTAAAGGTGTGATCATATTATAAAGGTTGAGCAGATGAGAATTTTTCAGACTAGAATTTTTCAAACCAAGGTTTTCTTAGGAGAGTTAAAATCATATTGAACTCCAGGAACCTTCTTAAATGGTGGTCACTTGCAAGGTGGACCCAAATTGCTTGGAAAGCCTTTCTGATAGTCTAATATGTACCCAGTGAAATAACTGTACAATCATGTTAGTAACTATGAAATGTGTTTCCTGATATATGCTTTAGAGAGTAAAACTCAAAAACATTTTGGGGAGGAATAATAAGAAAAAATCCTGTGAAATAATGGGTTTGTTCCAGTTCCACTAGAATCTTCAGATTCAATATTATACTTTCCACTTTGCATTATTCAGTAAGAGTATGAAATTATTTCTTCAGCTGCTCTCGGCCCTGTAACTGCAGTTATGGGGTAAAAAGAGAAGTGCTGACATGGCAACTGAAGGACAGCATGGGTAGTCACAGAGCTAGATACAGAGTACATTGTTTCAAGAGGCTGATAAGTTTATGGGTTAAAAGAAAGCTGAGGTTGGTTTCCTTTTGAAAAGACTGTTAATTTAGTAGCACAGCTGGCTTCCTCCTGCAAAGCCTGAGAAATGACAGAGATGACAGAACAGCAGAAAACTGGAAGAAAAAAAAATCAGCACATCACCTAATCAGAAGACGAGCATCTCTGACTGAGTGATAAGGTGGTTGAATGGACAATGGTTAGAAAGCTGCTATGCTGAAAAGCAGTATTGGTTGCCCTATCCTAGGTCTTTATAGGTTAAGCAGTCAGCACGTTAAGTATCCTTAGATTTGAAGGACACATTAGCTTGTTCTGTGTTTCCAGCATAGTGCAAAGGTAAAGAAAGTACTGAAGGTTCATTACTTAGTCCCAAAGGCAAAGATTAAAGGATGTTGTTATGGTAAGTGAAAAGCAATAAAAGGCCCAGAAAGGAAATCTTGCAGGAAATAAGATCACATTTTTCTGAAACAAAGCTGGAGCTACAAAAACAAAGCTGGGAGACTGTTTAACATTTGTTTCTGTTGTTGATGGTGGTGGGAAAATATGTAATCTCTTTATAAAATAATCAAGAGATATGGCAGAAGAATAGCTTGACAAGAATTGATTCAGATAAGTCTTACAATCTCTGGTCTCTGATTAAAGCAAGTAATTGCCATGCTGTTTTCTGGCCTTGTAATCTACAATTCACTTGCACTATATAAATATTTATTTGAATACAAGCAATTTGGCATAGCCCTACATACTTGCCAAGTACCTGAATCAATGGTAAAGCAGTATCTCAAAGTATAGTAAAGTCAAACACTCAACGTTTTTCACACTGAACACACAATTTCTATTTGTGTTCTGAGCTCCTATTAATACACTACTATGGAAGTCCTCAGGATAGTCTCTTAGTGAACAGAGCTAGAAGACATTCCTGATGAAGTATATTTCTAGCTTCTGGTTTTACAGAAAGTGTCTTCTGGTTAGTCAGTAAAATCTGTCTCCATGAATGATTCCATACAAATAAACTTATCATATTTCATGTTTGTGCTTCAATTGCTGGAAAACCATTAAGTAAGCAGGCATGGAACTTGAGTGCATATTTTCTTCAGTAAACCACACATGAATGTGTCCTATGAAAACCCACATTTTCTTTTCCGAGACAAAAGTAAACACCACCATAAACTGTCAGAATTCCTGAGTGGCAGACAAAGGAAAGTTAGCAAAGTATTTTAAACTGTAAAAGAAAGACTTTGAAGGAATCACACCAGTGGACACATGCAAGCGAGAATACACTTCACAGCCTTCTGAGATACTCAGTGTAAAGTATTTAATCTCTTCATGTTTCTGAAAGGACACTACACTTGCTTTTGTGAAAGTAGTGATGAAGACAACAGTCTTGTTCAAATGTCACTGTTTCTAAAAACAACAGGGTACATAAGCAACAGCTGAGAGTCATGTACCTTTTAGAAAAATTTCAGGGATCTGACATGTTTATTTAAAAGATATGTCATAGAGCCATACTCAAGATACTCAAGAACTTGAAGTTTATTCTTTAGTTGAGTGAAGCTCACTTCTTTTCAACTTTGTCACTAATAACAAGAATGAGTAGAACAAGTTGTTCTTGTTCTATTTGTAGTACTACAGTGGCTCAGACCACAAGTCCACCTAATAATTTGTCTTCTCTATTACAGAGTCTTATAATGGACACTTACAGGAGTTTACAAATAACCATATGCTGAATAATTCTTCCTCACTACAGCATCCTGTTTTCTTTGAATTAAAGGTTTAGGAACCTCACGAGCCAGAGGTCACATTTGTATGACTGTATTCAACAATCCCAATATCCTTCAGAAACATGGCACGTCCATTTCTGACAATATGCCATCCTACGGCAATTAAAAACCTCATGATTTTACAAGCTTCCATAGTACTTACCCTAATCCCCTCATCTTCCAATTGGAAGCTCCTAGTGTATTTGACCTTGTCACACCCAGTAACCCCGTAACTGCGTTGATCCCTTTGTTAACTGTTACTGCACATGTATTTTATGATTTTCCCAAACACACTACTTTGACTTTTGTAGCATTAGTTTCCATTTTATTCCATTCAGCAGTGGACAAATCTTCTGCAGTTGTCCACAGTCAAGCTCTTATTTTGACAATCATGAATAATTATGCATAATCAGTAAACACAGTCATTAGGTCTTCCTTCCAGGTGACTCAGAAGTTTTTGAATAGCATAACCTATATTCTCCCTGTTTACTGAGTCCTTCTAGTAGTGTTGTTAAGCCTGATTTTCAAAAGCAAACCCCACATTTACTCTTTTATAAACTATCATTGGTATTTCATAATTATTTATTTCTGTTTTTACATGTCTACCTCAGAGAAAATTAGATTAGCTGTCTTATAATGCTCAGGAAACATAGAGATTGTTTTACTGACTGATGTGGTATTTGTGACTTGCTGTTCCTTTAGAACTGAAGCTGTTTTCAAGAACAGGTTAGGTACTAGACCAAACACCAATTTCAATTTCTTTTAGAACAACTTCTAGGATATTTTTTCTTTTTTTTTTCATTAAAGGATATCAAATTTGAGGAGAATGTGATCAGTATTACAGTGACCTTCACTCAGTATTTCACAAACAAGGCCTTGTGTTCTTGGGATGGATTAACCTTCTGTTGTAAGTTTTCGCTCCAAAGAGCAGTGAGGTACGTGTACATGTACATGTGCTGTCTGCATGATAGCCCCTATGATAACTACAAGTCTATATGCAAGTAACTGTAGTCTTCCATTATTACGGCTGTATTTGAAATCTCTCAATCTGATGATAGCATCTTAGTGAACACTTAAAAAACAAAAACAGGAGAAAATAATTAGTGTTAGCAATTGCACTGATGCTCTCTGATGTGTCAGCCATATTGCTTCTAAGTGCAATTCCATTTCACTTCTTGAAAAATCTGTAAAGAAATAAATGTATCTCATTAAAGTCTGGAAAAACATAAAAACACAAAATGGATATTTAATGAAAGACAGTAAGTGGACATTTACAGAAAGACTAGTGATGCAGTGAGATATCTTCATCCTGACAGTAACACAAAAAAATTGGAAATGAAAGTGGCCACATTTATATCCTCAAGAGGGTCAAGTCTGGTGTGTAAACAAGTTTCTGAAATTGAGCGAGGAGAATTCCTGTCAGTTCTGTGCTACTAATTGTAATAAGCTAATGTTCTTTTCATTTTTGTAGATTTCTGTTTTCAGATTTAAAAGCAATTAACTCGTCTTGAGAAAGCTTCTGCTAGAAAAACACACATTATTATCCCTTTATTAGTGAGGGTGACGCTAAGGCACACAGTTTTTGATTTGTCACATAATGAACTGATTACCACAACCACAGCGAATTACCCACATGTCCTCAGTTGCCAATACTTTACAAACAGACTCTAATAGCGTATATATTGACAAATGCCTACCTGGGACATTAAAGTGATGGCCCCACAAGACTTGGGAAAAGAAAAAACATAAAAAAGAAACAAAAGAGAAACAGAATAAAATGATCAGCAATTTATTACTTCTGCTTCACTTACTTACAAGTCAAACATATGAACTAGATGAAAAAAAAAAAAAAAAAAAAAAAAAAAAAAAAGTAAATACCACATTAGACTAGGAAAAGAGACAATTCTAGCTGGATAGAGAAGACCAGGACATAATTTCATTCATCATCTAAAAAATTAATCATGAAATCCGAATCACTTCTCTCACATCTCCACCGCAGTTTATCTGTTTGCCTCCGCGTTCTGCCTCTCAGGGTCTCCCCTATTTTGTTTGGGGGAAGCCCTGCTCCTGCCGGGTTGGCAGTCCCTCCCTCACAGGAGAGCACAGCCCGCTTTCCTCTGCAGGTACGTCCTGAACAACTCCAGCTGAGGTAATTCACACGGCGCCTCTTTGCCCTGCTGAGCAAAAGGTCTCCTGTCATGTCACCGATGGTCCAGTGCTGCTGCCAACGCTCGGCCCATTTCAAACAAAACCAACCCGGAGCAGGACCGGCCCTGGCCCGGCTGCCCGCCCGCACCCCGCCGCTCGTTCGCTCGCTCGATGACGCCGCCGCCCTCCGCGGAAGGCGGCGCTGCTCGCCCCGGCCGCCATCTCGGGAGCGAAGCTGCCGCCGGCGGCCGCGCGCAGGGAACTGCGGCCCAGCTCGGTCCGTCTTAACCGTTGTTCTGCTCTCATCGCCCTCATCCGCCCTCCACCCCCGACCCGTGGAAGAGGAGAGCCCCCCAGCCGCAGTGAGGCTGACTGGCTCCAGCGGCCCTCATGGAGGAGGAAGGGGAGGCTTCTCCGCTCGCCGCCGGTGCGCTAGGGCGGTGGGGACTGTGCTGGCTGTGCGAGTGGGGGGGCAAGAGAGAGCGAGGGAGGGGTGGGAGGGGGGCAGGCCCTTGCAGCCCCCCAGGCTGGGACACTGTGCTCCCCGGCATTGGGGAGGGCTGTGTGCCTGGGCCCGGGGCTGCACACTGACAAAGTGCTGGGCGACAGGAGGCTGTGCGCGATGGAGAGGAGTGCAGGGCAGAGGAGGGATTTAGGAAGTCTCTCTGCGCTTTGGGGCACCGTTGCTGTGTGAGGCTTCACTCACCATGTCACACCAGTGTGGCTGCCTGTGTGGTAGGGAGGATGGCCAAGTCACGGAGTCACTGCAGGGTTGAGGTTGGAAGGAAAAGCACCTGGTACAGCCCCTGGCACCAAGCAAGGCTATGAATGTCTCCAAGCCTGGAGACTCCACAACCTCTCAGGGCAGCCTGTGCCATTCTTCAAGGCACACACCAAATCTGGGCTCTTCTACTGTGCTGAAGATACACTCCAATGATCATTCCTCAGCCTGCTGGCCAGAGTCATGGGGGACATCTAGGAAGTGGCCCAGGATGGAGAGGACCCTTCCCCAAGGCCTGCAGTTGCTTTGCGGTTCCAAGAGGTAGAAATAAATGCTTACTTGTCAGCCATGGCTGGTCTTTGATGAAGCCCTGTCCTCAGTCCCTGGCTTATGGAGCACTGGGATGCCACTGCAGACTTGTCAACTCAGTGTCTGTGTTATCTTGTAGGACAAACATTTCTCCATTTTGCATCTTCTGCAAAAATACTCAGAACTTGACTCAGCCAAAGTTCAGAATAATGTATATCATGCAAGTTCTGCTTTTATTAAAGAAGGGATCAAATCAGGAAGTTGAACAATTTCCTCTGGATATATGAACAAAGAATTATGAAGTTAGGAACAGCTTGGAACCGCTGAAACCCACTGGAGAAAACTAATGTTCAGTTTGGAAAAAAAATCTTTGTTTCATTGTGCTTGAGCGCTGATAAACATAAAACTATCATTTGTTTTAGTTCAAATAAACTTTCTCAACCATAAAACCTTGTAAAATATTAAGTATTTTACAAAGGTGCTGAGATTATTACATCAATAATTTACATTTAAATATCTTCCTGTATGTCTCTTCCAAACCTGTATATAGTAGGTAGGTAGTCTTGGGAAATTTAATTTTCTCTAGAGAATCCTACAGATATATAACCAGTTAGGTAACTGTGATAACCATTCCACTCTCATTGATACAATCTCTTGATATGGCCTCCACTGAAAAACTGTGATGTAATACTTTGATCTCCTAACATTCAAATCTGGAACTTAATACTAAAATCACAACAGATAAAGAAAATTATTTGGGAAAGAGTTCTTCTTAAGAGAATGGTTCAAAGCTGCACCAGGGGAGGTTTAGGCTAGACATTAAGAAGCATTTCTTTACCAAGAGGGTGGTCAAACACTGAGTAGGGCTTCCTAGAGAGGTGGTCGATGCCCTAAGCCTGTCAGTGTTTAAGAGGCATTTGGACAATGCCCTTAACAACATGCTTTAACTTGGTCAGCCCTGAATTCATTAGGCAGTTGCACTAGATGATAGTTGTAGGTCCCTTCCGACTGAAATGGTATAATCTAGTCCATTCTTAAGGAGAGAGGCAATAACCTACATACCGGTGGTTCTTACCTCTGCCTGTAACTGGAAGCAGTTAGCTGTTAAAAGTTAATTCAGATGTATTTTGGAGGGTGAGAACTGAGTACTCCGTGTTCCTCTGACAATATTTTAAAAAAATATTTGTTGAGATAAAGCTTATAAAAATGGCACTTATGTCCCTTGATTAGGGAAAATAAATGTATTCTCCAGTTTACTGGATTTTGCTGGATACTTACCATTTTGGTCTCTCTCACTTTCCTTGTTCAGCTATATTTACATAGATAGTATCTGCCTCAGACAGCAACCGAGTGACTTCCACAATTTACAAGTATCTGGAAGAGCAGAGAAAGAAAACAATTTTTTATTGGGATCAGTGCCAGGAGAAAATGATACTGCACAAGTGTTGGCAAACCAGATTATCAGAGGTTTGGTGGTCTGAATAGCCAGTTCCAGTTGCACAGCAAGAATCAAACTTAGTGAGCAGCTGGAGGGCACCTTGTTACATTAGGAGGTTTGTCTGTGAAATGCACAGCCTTCAAAAGTCTCCGCCAAACTCTTGCAACAATCTCCTATATAGGACATGTATAAAGGGCAAAATGAAACCCAAAGATGCAGGAGAATAAGGTCAAAGAGCAGGAGAATAAGGTCAAAGAGCAGGAGAAAAAGGAGGAGAATGTAATAGGATGCAAAATAAGCTCATCTGAAAATTATTTATTAATCCAGTTCAAGTAATGACCCGTTTCTAATCACTTTTTTACCAGTGGAATGTGACATCATTTTAAACAATTAGGGAAATAATGCCACGTAATTCAGGAATGTTTTATATATCATATGAGGACCGTGTTGGGTGTAGTGGCTGAGATATACAAGATCCTAATGTGCACTGGTAATGAAGTGATATTTAAGATTTATCAATGACTAAAGCTATGATACTGTAAACAGAAATGGGACTTACAGAAATTAAATATAAATTCTGTCCAGATTTAGCTGAACTAAAAATTGAAAAATTCTTAGTAAACAGAGATTGTCAGCCTGATGGCCAAAAATACCATTGTTCTATTCTAGTTTAGCATTAAGATCTTGAAGTTAGTAGGAAATGGATGGGAGAAATATAAACAGAATGTAGGCGAAGTGGATACAGTTGTTTTATGGCAGTCTACACAGAAAAGGAGAGGGAACTTTTAGCAGCAGCACTTGGTATAAGACTGAGCAGGACTTATATGCTCAGTTTTTCTTCCTCAGCTATATGCATCCGTGATGGAGATAGAAATGGCAGAGCCCTCATTTTTGATGCTCAGCACAACTTAATCTTTTCAAGGATTCACTGGTGTACTGTATACATCAGCTGCTCCTCAGAGAAACAGAATTGGGCATACTTTAAATACAGAGATTGTATCAGGACTATAAGCAGACACACTTCACTGATTTCTCACCCATTCTGGCACTGGGTTGGAATGTGTTCATGAGTGTACCAAGGCAGATGGTTGCCTTCAGAATTTATTTTAGATGTAGTTCCTCTGTAGTTAGGGTCAATGATTTCTGCTTTCATAGGAACTGCTGTCAGTGTTCTGAACATTTTCTTAAGAAATGCTACCTGCTCACTTTCCATTCCATTCGAAATTATTATGAAAAATAAAACCAACAGAAATTTTTTAATTTAACATGAGTTTTGTTTCCAAAAGTAATGGTTTCAAAGCAGAATAAAACCCCAAAATCTATTGGGACTGGTTTTGGTAGCTGTTTTCTGAAATAGCCTGAAGCTATTGACAATAAATGTAATCAACAAAAAACTATTAGTGTGTGCTGTGCCAGATTGCATTAAATATAAATTAAGAATTGGATTCTGCAGAACTCAGTTACTGGGAGATAATTAGTTTAGGCTTCCTCTGTGTCAGTGAGAGTCTAGAGGTTCTCATCAGACTCTAGACTAGATCAAGTAATTGCACCCTAATATATCCATTTCTCTGTACTGACCACAGTGAGAACCTTGGGTGAGAAGTTTAGCTAGATATGTTTACATTTTACATATCGGCATTATGTAAGATTAATTCAGTCCCCTTCAGGTGTTTTAGCTAAGCCTGTGTATGAAAGAGATTATGTTGTCATTGCAAAAGATTCTGATGAAAAATAAGGAAAATATTATGTGAACATGTGTCCAGAATTTTTCTTCTTGTGACTGTTGAAACTAGCCTGAAACCATTTCCACAAAAGTTGTTTATCTTAATATTAAGATCCAGTAGGGTTATTTGTAGAAATGTGAAGATTACAAGTTTATTGTATTAAGTAATTTAACGCCTGGATTCTGTCTTTATACTTTGTCCAAGTGTGAAGCTTGCAGTGTTTCAGTACCTTGCAGGAGCATCAGCAGCATACCTTATGCCTAGCCTGTGATCCTGTCCATTTCTTGTTCAGGCATGGTGTTCAGTCTAACTACAAAATATCTGTGCATAAAAATGTCTCTATATTGAAAGATTTTCATATGATAACAGAGATATCTGGCATGTAGACCAGCCTGACTATTGAGCTCTGTGTACTTCCCACTGGGTGTGATACCAGCCAGGCTCCTCCTCTGGAGCTCCTAACCTGTGCTGAATCTGGTCACCAGAATACCCCTGTTATGAGCCCCCAATTTTTACAGTTAACTTATAAATAACTTTTAAAATTTTAGTCTCTTCTATTGTATGTTTCGTTTTTCTTTTGGGAAAGGTAATTTTAATTTTTCAGATCCACTAAACTGGGCATATATGCAGTAGGATCCAGCAGCCTATACTGTTTGTAAGTATAGAACAGGAAATGCACTTGCGCTATTTACTCATCCAGTAGGGAAGCATAACTATATATTCCTGGATTTCTGTAGCACGTACCAGGAAACAATTTTATCTCCAGTCATCTCCATGGAAAGCAGGTGATGTTTATCCCGTTTGCACAGTTTTGTGCAATGTTCTCTCAGCCTTTTCCAGTTTCTTTCTGAAAATAGCAGTGACTGGTTCTTTATCACAGGAGTTGGTATTACAGAAATTATTGTAGTAATGTAAGGAATTTCTTTTTATCTCTGGGCTTTACAAAGCGTTCAAAGGACATTACTTGTAAAATTTACTTTTGGTTTACTTAAATAGCAACTCTATTTTAACAACCTGTAGGGTTTTTGTTTCTTGGTTTGGGGTTATTTTACCAGATCGTGTGGTTAAGTGATGTCATACAGACACACCAGATAGGGAGAAGTCATTACAGTCTTTAGACATCTTTGTATATCTGTGATTGGTGAAACTTCTTTACAAACTTATCCAAAGGTGTCGAATAATGTGTGTCTACCCAGCCGAGGAGTGCAGGGGAAAAATTGAAAGCTCGGGAGGAAACATGTTAGCAGGGGTACCTCATGTTCTAAGATAGCCCTTGATAAAACAGCTGAAGTATTCCTAAAGGAAGAGGGTACTTACATTCTAAGCGATCAATAACATTTTTACTTATCAGCCTTTATTGTTTACTAGATATCTAGGGAAAAGGTAAATAATAGAGATAATACAAGTGGTTCTTAAGTTGCTCAGGCACAGGACAGATATCCTGGTGCAGAAACCTATTCCACTCATTCCAGATACTCTTTTATCTTTAAAAGAGATCAGCATGTCGTCATCTTTTTGTCAGTCAGAGACCTTAAGCACAGGGAGAGGGGAAGAAATTCTGACTACAGTTCTCACAGAAGGGCCAAAAGAGAAACTGTTTCCCGTTACAGATATTTGGTAGAAGCTCCTCTGCTCTAGCCCTGCTCCTCTGTATGCTTCTTCACTGAGGCTCCCCATGGCTTGGAGTGCTGGGTGCCCTCCTGTGGCTTGGAGAAAGGTGTTTTCATAAGTCAGGAGGGATGGTGCATGTCTTAAAATATGCAGAATGAAAAACTGCCCCTTGAGGCAAACACTGCTATTGTGTACAATTGAAGGAAGAGCTGAAAGGGGATCTAGGCAGTACATTATAAAATTAAATTACAACAAAAAATTGAAGAATTTATTTTCAAAAATTGCACTGATGATTTTATTTCTCTAAACTGGAAAGTTATATATTGCAATATAAGATAGCCATTCATTATACATGCTTGAATTTAAAAAGGGTTATCTCTGTATACTGAAAGCATCATTACTGAAATAAAACCCGATGGAAAGATCACCTACTGTTGTATTTTTTTTATTAATTTGAACCTGGCAAAAAAATGTTAATATTTACAGAATAGAAAATGGCAAGGCTGTAGGAAATGGCATAAATATTCCAAATACTCAGACTAGAAGTAGGAATAAAGGAGTGCATTCAATTTTTTTACATCTTTCCATATATTTTTGGTAAGGAATATTTAATTCACAAATGCAGGCGTTACAACAGGTCTGACATGAATGAAAAGATAATATCATAAACTGGGAAGCTGAAAATCTGAAATGAGCAGTGCTTCCCATCATTGTCTAGATAACAGTGAAGTAATACAGCAGAAAAAAATAATGTAAAGATATGAGTAATGATTTCCCCTGTGCGCAAAAAAGAGGATTTCTGCATTGAGTTAAATAATTTCACATAGTAAATATCTGTTAGATTTTTCCCATAACACCTCTGAAGCCAGCTTTTCAGCCATGCTCATTTATGTGAGAAATGTATGTGTACTCCCCAGACCAAACAAAAGAACACCTTTGTGTAACACTTTGTAGGGAATTTTGGAGGGACTGTACATGTATGTGTATTTTTATAAATCCATGAACTTTGTGAAAAGAGGAGACTAATAAGTAGGTAGGAAAATGCAAAATTAGCAAAAGATTTCACCGATTCATAGGCTGTTTTTTGCTAGTTGGAACAGACAAGCATTTTGTCAGACTACATGTTGGTATGTACATCTTTTTCTTGGATATCCACAGTTGCTTCTGGTCCACTCATTCTTGTTGAAATATGTAGCAGGTTTTGTCTTTTCTTTCTCAGGTAGAAAAAAATTATACTTCCAGTTCCAATTATAAAAAGGGCCAGAAGAACGAACAGCCAAATGATGCCGGCCGAAAGTACTTTCTCCATCTTCTCTTCTGTAAGTGGATGAAACTGAATCAACACCTTTGATCTTAATTTATTTCAGAATGTATAAATAAATGTGGTTTCTTTAATGAGAAATCAGACAAATGCAATGTGCATGTAGATTTTCAGTTCAACAAGTGGTTTGCTTTTTTTTCTTACTAACAAAACCAAACAAAATATAATGAATTCTGATCAAAAACTGATTTACTTCAGAATGACCTCCATTTTCTATATCTAGATACAGATGAAGTTTATGAACTTCTTATTTTTAAATACTCTCAAAATGAATATCTAGAAACTATGTAATTATATTCTTCTTGTGTTTGAGCATGTCCTTATAATTCTACTTAAAAGTAAGGATGCTTACCTGTATTCTCTGTTGACATCTCTGTGTTTTCAGGAGCTTTTGGAAGGAAAAGAAAATGCTTATTTTGAATGCTTAAAAAAAAAAAAAAAAAAAAAAAAGGCATTTTAAGCTTCCTAAGTCCAGATGTTCGTGACAATTACCCCTATATCCACTTGCTGGTGACAATTTCTGTCCCAGAGAGATGAAGCTAAGCATGTGTAAACCTCTGGTAAGATGATTGTCTCTTTCAGTCCAAGAGCATCTGACCTCAGTTGAGATACCCAACAAGACATGAAATTAAGAGTCAGATTTCCATTCTTTGTAAAACTGTTTTCAAACATGGTTATTTCTGAGAAACTGCCCACAGGATCATTAATCATTATAAAGTGTTTTATGAAACAGGAAGAATGTCCTGAAAGGAGGTCTTGAGTATTAGAGATGTATCATGTGCATTTTACTTGAGCTGAAAAGGATCTTCTGTGAGTTTAGCTCCTTTTGTCAGAGACAACCATTCCATGTGGTTGTGGTTTCTGTGGTAATTGCACTTTCTAAACTTAGCAGGTAAGGGAAAGATTAACATATATATGAAGCTTAACCAAACAAAATGTTCATGTTCTGGACTGCTTTCATTTAATCTCAGTTGGTAACTGAACTCCTGCATTTTCTTGGAGATTATCATTTTGCTATCAGCATAGTACCAGCATTTTATTAAACATGATTCTGTCATACAGTAGAGTGCCACAAGAATGTATGTTATCATATTCCTCTAGTCCACTCAGAGGACAATAATGAAAGGAATCATGAATTCCAGTGTTTCCACAAGACAGAGTTTTCATTGCACTCATCAGAACAAGATTTTTTTTTATATATATATATGAAATATTCAGCTGAAATTGAACAAAATGTTGCTTTTGATATTAGATTGTGTGATATTTGAGGGAAAATTCTACTGAAAACTGGCTTTTTAGTAAAAATAAGTAGTCTTTGACCATTCTATTTTCTAAACGTAGGGATCTGAAGTATTCATGATGGCTACATGGGGCTAATGGTAATTTTACAGGACTTCTGGGAGATGCAGCCTTCTGAGGAGGCAGTCAGAAGCCATGTGGGGCTCCTAGTATTTAGGCAGCCAAATCCTGCTATTAGGGAGTACTGGTTTTGCACACAAACATATAATGTTTTACATTGTTACGTTATACAATGAAAATATATTATCAGGCATTATTAACATTAATGTATTAGAAATATTACTTACTTTTTGTTTTTTTACAGATATATCCTTTTTTGAAAGAACAGACATTGGTGTTCCAGTAGCCAGACAATGCATATACTTCTCCACACTCTTTATGCCTTTTGTTTGAAGGTTCTCCCATTTGCCAGTTGACAAAATCCATTGCAGATTTGTCCTTCCAAACCCACTGTCCTAATATTTAAAATGAGCATATATGTATAAAATACAGGGGTTTAGACAGATAGAATAATTTGTGATGAGGAAAATGAAAATTTATAACAGGATTAGCAAGTTAAATGTTTCAGTTACATTTCTAAGCATATGTAAACATGTTTTGAAATAAACTTTGTATATTTTTTATATATACTTTCAAGTATACAAAGTTGCGCTTTTTTTAATATATCATAATTTTGTATGCTATGATAATGCATGATTAAATACTGAAGATATTACCTCTGTCATTTTTTTTTAGCCCTATCCAAAAGTTCGGTGATTTTCCATGGAGTATCTTAATGGTGTCTGACAGAAAGTTTGCTTCGGTGTAGTCTCCTATTGATACTAGATTAGCAGCTGAAAAAATATTAATGAACATATAACAGTGTCTCATTTTCTTACAGCTTAAGTCAATAAACAGATAAAAGATATGCAAAAAGATATAAAAGACACCCATTATTGTGCTAATCTCATTATGGTTATTATATTGCTGTATTGTATTTTGAGCATGACTGTGAGCTGTATGGATGCAAACCAGCACAAAGACATGGGATTTGTTTAGCCTTTGGCATTTTAGAGAAGAAAAATCGCTCTCCTGCAATAATTTTTGGATAGGTCCAACTACACCCCAGAATGTGATGCAAGTAGGCTGAAAGTGGTACACTGATGTAGTCAGCACCATGCATGTCACCACTACAGCTCTGTCACCCACCAGTGGCTGAGCAGCATTTTTGGCAGTGCCTGATGCTATGTACTGCAAGGGTAGATAGGATGTGTAAACAGCTAGAGGTTGGAGTCCAGAAGATATCCAGATGTTGATTTATAATTGCCATATGCCCTGGGATTACAGATACAGAAAGCAGCATTGGGGTCATCAAGAAATTACCACCTTCCTGGTCTGGCCAGTGAGTAACATAGGCAAAAGTGTAGGAATTTAGAACATGGACCAGAGTCCAAATGCAAGCTTTCATTCTGGTTATTAGTGTAATCTTTACTTTTTCTTGTAATTATGTGATTTATCTTTCTACAGAAGCACTTCAGGAATTCTGTTGTCACACAGCTGTAAAGTAAAATGCCTTTGGAAAGCTATGTTTTCTGTTTACACAGTCATAGGTCAGTGTTTTCATACATACGAGGAAGAGCTGCTACAAATCCTTGTATTCCCTCTTATGATTAAAAAACTATCACTCAGACATACAGTGCTAATGTATAGGATGTTTCTTATTCTCACACTGAAATGTATGCTGCATCACAGCAATTCTCAGAAGAGTCAGGAGAAATCAGAAATGCAGAGCAAAGTGTCTTTTCCTCTCCCCCAATGCACATACAGCTCTTGTCAGATTGTAGAGGGGTCTGTTCCAGAGCAGGAGCTGTATGGCTGGGTGTGTTTACTCATTCATGAAAGATAAATGACTCCTCCATCTTGTTGTTGTCCAGCCGGTTAGATCAAGTTAATAATATGTGCCAGCACTAGTAAAGACAACTTTCCTATTAGTTTATGTCTCCTAGTTCACACTGTGTGTGGATTCCCTCACACATGGGGAAGGGAAAGATAACCCTGCAGTCTGTGTCTTAGTGGGACTATGGGAGCATTTATCTCCCTAGCCAGTTACTGATTTCCATAAAACTAGTAGTAATTTCATATTTTTGAGATGTTCCTATTTCACCTGGTGTTTGAGATATCAGATGCCTCTGTCTCTGACAAAGTTTAGTTTTATTGTGAAAAAGCATGCTCAGAAAAGCGAAAAAGCATTGTTTGAAGTCTTAAAGTAATTTAAGATTTCCTTAGCAATGTCATCCATTATTTTATGTGTTTAATTACATCTTCAGTCTTTCTAAAACAAAACACTTACCTAGTCGGGCACACTCCTGATCAGCTTGAGACCAGCTTCTTTTCCTGGAGGCCTCAAAGTAATAGCAGTGTCCATGGAAAGGTATCCAAGATTTGTGTCCTCTCGATTCAGGGCATTTTCCAGGAAGTTGCGGGGGCTCAGTAGGAGCCATTACTGATAAGAGATCAGGTAGTTAGAATCCAGTTATTTTATAAAATTTGTTTTTCCCGTTATACTGGTAGGACAAAATGAAACAGACTATATTAGGTTTGTCATCATAGAACAAATGAAGCATGTTCTAAAAAGATCTCGAATATGGCTTTCATTTTGTGTTTGAGAGCATGTTTTGCTTTGTATTTACTTACCAAGATGATTAGAAAAATATATTAGTCTATAAGAAGCGTATTTTCTGTCTAATGATGATTTTTTTAAATTACTCTTGTCAGTAAAATGTCCAGATGGTTTTCTGGCATAAATATCTGCCTAATTAGTTAAAACTGCTATTTTTAAAATGTCTTCTGACACTTCAGTCTCACTTTTGGCCAGGATCAAAACCTTATAGGAGAAACTGTGACAGTGAATGAAAGTGTTGATATAACTAAACATGGCTTGCAGGATTTTTATTAAACTGTATCCTGAATAAATTCCATAGTGATTGATATAGTAAGAAGATTTTGGATGAGAAGATAAATGCAGATGGAATGAAAATTAAATGTTCTGCCAAATTGCATTTTCTTCCTGTGAGTCTTCTACAGTCTATTTCCATTTCCTATTAAGGAATATTCAGCTCTCAAATTAGATTTCCAGAATATTAAAGTGGAAAGAGACATTATATATCAAATTTGAGGATTTTTGTCAAATTACAACATCTTAGAATGCAATTTGGCGTACAGTTTGTATTTTTCTAATGGTTCAAGATCTTCCATAATGTTGATAAATACAAGAAAATAGCTAAATCGTGAAATCGCATTTATACCTATTTCCATAGAAATTATAAAATTTTGTACTTGGAAGGCTCTTCAAGGCATTATTTACTCCATCCTTGTGCTCACAGGTGACACAAAGTTGATATATAATTTCTAAGAGATGTTTGTCCTGTCTGTTCTTAGCAACCCATAGTGATGGAGATTCCCTCACCTGTCCACAGTATTTATTAAAGGCTTCTATATTAATGAAATTGGAAGGTTTTCCTTGCCGTATTTAGGTCTGTTTCTCATTTCCAACTCATATCAGGCACAAGGAATAATTTAATTCCATTCCTTAGGGCTCATTTTTAATATTTAAAATTGATAATTTGGTTTCTTTTAGTCTTTCGTTTCTCAGTCTTTTGTCCAACTCCAGTTATAGTCTTTCCTTTTTATTTTTTTTTCCTGATCATCTGAAAACCCTAG